CGTGCTGCATGCATTGGTGTAGATGTACTTCAGTTGGGCTATTGATCCCGCCACCTTTTTGGGGGGACAAGCCCTAAGTCCTATGTGATTGTTCTCAGGTGCTTCCATGGTTTCTAACACATCAACAACCCTTGCATCTTTGCTGCTGCATGGATCTCCATCCCTGACCTCCACTGAGATAGCTAGGGTGCTGCGTGCATTAGTACAGGGACATTTCAAATGTGTTCCAGTGTGCTCAGCACATCGTGGATCAGACCGAAGGACCTTGCTGGCACACCGTCCCTCAAACATTGACATGCCACTCCCAGGCTTATCTCTAGTGAGCCTGGTTTTATCCCTTTCCTCCTTCAAATCTAGTTTAAAGTTCTTTCAATGAGCCCTGCTAACTCCTGCACGAAGATCCTTTTCCCCCTCTGAGGCAGGTGTACCTTGTCTGTCACCAGCAGGCCTGGTGTCAGATCCAAAACCCATGATCCAAAACCACAAAATTCTGTCAGTGACACCAGGCTCAGAGCCAGGTATTGATCTGCTGGCTCTTCCTGTTTCTCCCCTCATCATTCCCTGCAGCTGGAAGGATAGAGGAGAACACTACTTGTGCTCCTGATCTCTTAACCAGTTGTCCCAAGGCCCTGAAGTCTCTTTTGATCACCCTCGGACTTCTTGTTGCAACTTCATCGCTGCCTACAGGAAAAAGCCATAATGGAAAATAATCTGAGGGCCATACCAGGGTAGGAAGTGTTCTCGTCACATCTTTAAGCCAGGCCCCAGGGAGGCAGCAGGATTCCCTAAGAAATAGGTCAGGTCAGCATACTGGGCCTTCTGTTCCCCTTAAGAAGAGAGTCTCCTATAACAATGACCCGTCCTTTTTTCTTTATGGAAGTGGTTTTGACACAGGGCCTAGGCCGACTTAACCTTGGTGACACCTCCAGCCTAGATGAACCATCGTCCTCGTCATTGTTTGGTTCCACTTGCAGAGCCTCACACCTATTATACAAGAGCACCTGGGAAGGTGGGGTAGTCATGCAGGAGATTCACCTGCTGTGCCAGGCAGGAACTTGTATCACCATTCCCCCCACTATGTGCACTTTTATAATTACTTAGTGGTTCATTTTTAAAATAGCATTAAGCATTTCAAGTCAACCTGAATGCTCCACATTAAGCTGATTACTATTACAGAAATTATGCATTTAAGGTGGAAAAACATTGCCTTGTGACACAGTGCCAAGCTCCTGAACCTAATCCATAAAGAAACATGGACAGCCAGACACAGAAGATAAGTTCAATGTACTTTTTCACTCACTGTAGTTATTTTATAATTGGAGATAATTTTAAAATAAATTGAATCATCCTTCATTCTCTTCCAATGATAAATGCATTAAAATTATAAAGGTTGTCCATCAGGTAGTCTGCTTCATATTCCAGATTAGTACACTTAATGTTTTAAAAACTTGTTCTAAGTGAATTCTTTGAATACTCCAAACAGCAATACTTTCCAAACAGCAGTACTTTCATAGTTCTCCCACACATGGAAACACAGACATAGCTAAGATCAATTTCAAACTACTTGCTTTCCACAAATTCACTTTTCCCATCTATATGCAAATTTTACTTCAAAAGTTATGGTATACCGTAAGTATAGATTATTTGTTCTTACAAAATTAATTATGCTTTTTGGCAAGATAGTAAAGAAAATCCTTCTAAAATGTACTGTAGTATGAAAATAGATCAACTTGGGTTTCTAAACAAGCTTTCCGAAGATCTAGGAGAGAAAGTTGAAGTCTTCAGTAGGCTACAACTTAAAACTGCAGCAAAGAAGATTGTTAATATAGGTTTTCATTTTTCCTACTTATTCTAAGAAAACACATATTTACATTTCTCCCTAGAGGCCCTGCTCTCATTAATGTACTTAAATGTTTTAATAATTCAAAACACACTGACTTCTCTTTACACCCACACACATCATCACTGGTTGATTAGCATTGAAATGAAAAAGCTAATAAATATTAAAATGCTAAATAGATACTTTAGCAGCCACAAGAACGCCAACATTTGTTTAAGTAAATTAATTCTCACTTTTCTTATTTCTTATAGTGTGCTGGAGTAATGTGAAAGCAAACTAAGCTTTAGAACATAAACTGGGATAGAAACTGACACTCAAGGGCTAGCAGAAAGCACAATTTGAACAAAATTTCATTTCATAGTAGGTACTAAGTACATTAAAGAAATAAATCAAAGGAAATTCAGTTGTGAAAGGTTCCTCTCAACTATCATTTGTTTAAAAAAGTTAACTCTTGATAAAAAACACACTATGAACTGGACAGTAAAACCCAAAATGCTAGCTTGATAATACAATAATACTACAGACTAGCAGTTGATTAATAATGACTGAGCATAGATAGCATCACTGTTAAATAAGACGACCTCAGATAGCTTTGCAGTCAATCATAGAATTAAAAAGAGATGCTATGTAAACCAAATCTTTAAAATTCATTCATTAGGTATTAGCAGATAAAGCCAGCTCTTGTTGTAGCTAAAACAGCACATAACAAGGTCTATTTCATAACTCTTCACTTGGACACCACTCATCTAGTGTTCTCAATCCCTCCATACTGCAGAGCATTTCCTCCATACCCACACACTGTCCTTCCCTCCTCCCTTGCCCTCCAACGCTGTCCTTCAAACAATGCAACCTCACTGCAATTCTGTCCTCTAGACCTGCAATACGGTAACATTTTCTTGAAAAAGTAGCACCTAGAAGAGTTAGAAAAAGGCATCTACCCAGAGATGAATGCTTAAAATACTTGAGTGTTTACTGTACTAGTCCCACCAGATGACCACATTAAGAACCAGTGTAACTTGTTAACTATTGCACAAGACTGAATAAAAGACAGTAACTGATACTTGAATTGTAGATCAGTCTGTAGACAAAGTGGTGCTCAAATTGTGGTGCTCTCCAACAGAGACGTAATACACTTTCATTTAGATGATACATTTATTAAATTAGAATGAAAAAGTTAATGTACTTTAGAGTGCAAGAAACACATTTGGACACTGGACCTCAATACAGAGAAAAAATGTCTTCAGAATTATTACAGCAAAAAACATCCTCTGTACGGTATTACATATCAACCAAACAAGCAATAACATTTGTAAGGGAAAAAACATTCAGTACCATCAGCAGATGCAAAGAGCAGTAGAGAAGAAAGTAGCAAGAATCTATCTAGCTAGACAAAAAAAGTTCCTACCTTTAGCAAGTTATGCTCTTGGCAGGACTCAAACTAGTACTAAGAGCACTAACTTTTAGCAGATGCCAGTCTTACACAGCTGGCTTTGGCTCCAAGCTGCTTGAAGCTGTTGAGCAGAAGAGCAGCATCAAACACAGTATTATCCCATTAGTATTTTGTCAAAAGCTACAATCATGAGTGACAATTTATTTGTTTTAAATCAAGAAACAGACTTTCAGTTGCAATATCTTAATTTCACAGACCCTAGAATACCTAAACACTCCCTGCCTTTTTTCATCTCTCCAATTCAAACCTGACAATGAACAGTTTGACTGAGAGGATATGTATGCTGAAAAGCTGAGTAGGCTTATGATCAGTGTTTTGTTCTTTTTAACAAGATAAAGTAGCACATCTTGACATAAGAGTTTCACCTACAATGCTTAAATTAAATCAAGACAAAAATCCCCAGAACAATATTTAAGTATAGTGTAAAATGCTGAAATCCTTCTACTGGCCATACTGCTCCTACATATCCCACCTTCAACTCATACATCTACCCTGTTTTGTGTAACATTTGCTAGAACAAAACAAAAAAATTCTAGGAACAGAATTTTCCTCCGCCAGAGGCCCAGAGCCTTGTTTATTAATCAACCTGGCTAACCTAACATTCACACTTACCCCTCCTGGTGGTGAGGATTGAAAGGTGTTTATTCTGTGCTTGAAATTGAGCTGTAATAGGATGCAGTACAATTTACCAGCCATTAAGTTGAACCATGACCACTTGCTTTTATAAAAAGCTGTATTATGGATCCCAACGTTTTAATATAAAAATTTAAATATATACATTTTCCCTGAATTGTTCCATCCCTAGCAATTCATGCTATCTGTGTAAAAGTTAGATCAAGGGACTCTTCCTGCAGGTATCTAAGCATTAAATCCTTACCAAGATTTACCCTTTTGGGTGGCGATGTCACAAATCACTGTGCTATAAAAACCAAATGCCTCTACACCTACTCAATCACAAAATTTACCATGACTGTAGGGAAGGGGCAAGACTAGTTTCTTGATGAACACCTATTTTATTTTAGAAAATAAAAACGTGGTGACTCTACAACTAAAGCACACAGAAACTATAGCCTTGAATCTCATTATTGAAAAGCCAATTGGAGGATGTATAAAGACACGCTTTCAACGGTAAATTTAAGATGGTAAGGGATTCATAACAAAACTTAAAATCGTATGTTATGAAAAGACAGCTTTAAAAGGTCAGAAACTGGGATAATTTTTGGTGCTGTATTTTAAAAGTTTCAGTATCACTTTTAATCATAAAAAATAAATATTCATGCTCTACTGCCAGTGCTACCTAAAGGCTTCTTGAATGTAGGTGGGGGGAAAAAATAAAATAAGATCAGCTTTTCAGCAGATAATAAGGAAAATATTTTAAGTGTGAAACATGAAACAAAGTATGGGGAAGAAGAGAATACGCGTCCCTTTCCCCTATTCCAAACCTGGCTTTAATATACTCATGAATCACTCAAGAGCCTAGATTTCAAGTGTACATTCATTCCAACTCTTGAAAATATAAAGGTCTATGGCTATTGTAGAAAGCATTTGAAATCAAACATTAAAAAGATAAAACAGCAACATTGCACATCACTGGAAAAAATAAACTGGTGCATACTATTTAAAGTGCATTACTTTACCAGCTGCAAAATCAGACACCATGGAAATTTATCCAACAGGTGTAACTGGTGCATACTGTAAGATTCTGCAGCTCCAAGATGAACTGTTATCTGAAAAAATAACACTAACAATAAATACAAGCAACCTCCAACCTCCTCTGAGGATCAGACTATAACTCAGATATGTTAAATTTTCTCTCACAAAGAATTTATTTCCATCTGCATCAAAAAATAATAAATTGACTACAGCAACCGTCATCTAACAAGTAACTGAGCAACTCATAATGCCATTCAAAGATTCTGAAGCTACCTTTCGTACTTCTTATTTCAGATTACAGGAAAAAATACAATAGTTTTTTCACTGATATAAACTGATAATTTTGCTGAAATATAGGTGTAAAGAAAGAAGCCTTATAACCAGATCATAGATTTCTGCTTTTTTAAGGTAAGACAACACCTTAAGTAATTGTTTACGGCTTCAGTAATTTTCCAGGTATAAAAATCTTTCCTTCTGCACTTATCCTTTGAAATAGCCATGGGAATGCAGAAGTAGCAGCTAGAGTGCAATTAGCTGTAGAAGTACATTAGGGCTCAGTCCTGTTCTCTGCTACAGCAATACATACTGTACTTGTTAAAAGTTACCTGTTAAGATTTTACAGATACGTAACAATGCTTTATGGGAAGATAAAGCCCCAAATGCACGTCAGATAATATATTGCTTTGGTGCCCGATGACTAGATTGACTAGAAGATGCTCATTACAAATACCAACAGCGCAACCTAAGAAATTTACCTTATTAAATTAAGAGTCTTCAATCAGAAACAGTTGAATATATCACAGCAATAACTAAACACCACAGAACAAGGAAAGGGTCTTTCTTTTAATTTCTGGCAGAAATAGGCTCCTTGATGAAACCTAAATACTTTAACAAATCAGTTATGTTTAAAGAGCAAACCCTCCATGGAAAAAAATTTTTTTTCAATCTAACAAACAGTAGTAAATCCTGTACTGCATAGAGTTACTTTGTAAGAACAAGTTTATGAAAAGGGGGAGAGAAAGAAAAAAAAAAAAGCAGCATTACTCCCCACCCCATCAGAATACAGCCACACAGGGCACAGCTGACAGTAAAGATGCTTCAACGCTGTATTGTAGGACATAAGCTAAACTGAGTATGTACAGACTGAGAAAGAAAGTGAAAAAGATCTAAACGTCCAAGGAGAAAAGGGGTACATCTTTCACACAGGATGCGCTAACAGAAAGCTGTTGGGAAATTCTTCCTCTAGCTAAATCCCTGGCTTGGCAAGTAAAAATAAGTGGCATCGAGGACGGGGACTATGCAGAAAGTGGGGTTCTATGATTCTTCAGCCATCTGAAGCAAGGAGTTGATAGCTGCATCCTTGTTCCCCCTCTGAGCTTCTAGCACTGAGCGGATTACTTCCCTGTCCATGTTGGGAAACATGTCCTGGATAGATTTCAGGTCCTCTTCGTTACACAGGTGCTGAGGGTTGACCGCAGGAGGTGGTATTGCCACTGGTACCATGCCTGGATTACAGACTGCAGGCATCCCTGCAGGCGAAAAACAGAAGAAAAAAACCAAAACATACGTGAGTGGGTGGAAAAGGGGGAAAAAAAAAAAAAATCAATGATTTTGAAGAAAGCAGCTCATGACTTGCCCCAACCTACCAACTTCAGCTTCTTGGGTTTTTTTTTTGTTGGGGGGGGGGGGGGGGGGTGGGGGTGTTTGTTTGGGTTTTTTTAGCATGTACTCCAGGAAAAAAAAAAGATTGCAAAGATTATACCTAGATTGTTGCAATCAGAATACATTCTTCTGGAACAGGTTCTCTGCCCAAGTTCTGTTCCAGAAGTGGTGAACTACAGTATGGCAGCAGGTACAGCTCAGAATTAGGTAAGACTTGCATTAATCAGGTTTACACATGAATCACTAACCAAACACTAAGCATATCACAGAAAAGCGGAGGTGTTTTTTTCCCCCCCGCTCTAAACTCCAAAAACAAGGCACCCATCATATTTTAGTTCCTCGTGTATTTATATTGTGATGAAAAGATAGGTTTATATCGGCAATATACATAACTGATATTCAAAAATTCAATGAATGCAATCTCCATTGCATTCAAAGGAAGGCAAAGTGCTTAGGTCCACTAGGAGACTGGACCACACTCATAAGCAAATTTTAAGCAAATGTTTTTTGCTGGTTAAAGTTCCATCCAGTTCAGCCTGCAAAGTCACAAAGTGGCAAAAGAGCAATTCCTCTTATGCCTATAGGGGTACACACTGCTTTTCCCTGTTCCTCTGCCAGAGGACAAAATTAATCTGGCATTTTTCATTAACTTCTTGTACGTCTGTGTAAAATTAAAGCAGTGCCAGTTTTAGAAAATGAGTTTTCTAATTCTTATTAAAAGGAATTACTAGACAAAAGTCCCTTTTCATCACTTAACTTTTATCGTTAATTAAGCGTAGATCCATTGCTGAAAAAACTACCATTTGTTTTCATAAAACTGAAACCAGGTATAGTATACATACAGAGTTTTGTTATCACTTCTGAAAATGGTGTATTTCATTTCTTCTCTAAGTAGTTCCACCCCCCCCGATTATCTTAGTCCCACACCTTTGTGTGTTACTTTCCAGTTCTGCTGTATTATTTCTAAGGTAGGGCAAGGAGAACTATCTGCATCTAGATACAAACATGGCACTACAGCAGCATGATAAAACTTTTGTATTTGTTCTCTATTTGCTTTCAAGCATTTTATCCACTGTTTCAAACACTATTCACTTGGTATTTTCATAGAATAGTCCTCAGTAATTCAAAGATCTTTATGTGTAGTAATGACCAAGCAAGAAATCGTCACCAAATAGGTATTAGTTAAGATTTTTCTTTACACATAAATACTTTAACACCAGCCTTAATATGTGATTTTATTTCCCATTTACTATAATGAGATCATTCTGCAACCTGCTAAACAGTCAGAGAGATTTAGAAAATTGCTAAGAGTTTTTGTTTTGACAAATTGTCTATTATTTCCCTACTCTCCATTAGTTTTTTAAAAATATGATGCACCCCACCAAAGGCCTCCCTCCATTAGGGGATGACTCATCACTTTTATCTGTTCATCAGCTTTTCAAAATAGCTATTAAACCACAAGAGGACCTTTATTGTAACAGAATATCATATGAAAGGACGAGTCCTTAGCAAATAACATTTTTCAAAATGCAGCTGACAAGGTGATATACACAGACAACATCATTCTTACCCACATACTCATACAGCTATAATTTCCAAGGTATGAGC